AGGAATGGGAGAAGAAAGAAGAGGAGAAGAGCAGGAGGTGGATTAGTTATAAAGGAGGAGAGGAGCAGGAGGGGAAGGAGCAGGAGGAGGGCAAGGAGTTCAGAAGAAAGGGGAGAAGGAAGGAAAGGAAGAGAGAAGGAGCAGGAGGGGAAGGAGCCCTACATGTATTATTGGGTGGTAGCCCCCCCCCCCCCCCCATCAACGGGTGTGGGCAAAACTGAGAGAAAAAGCCGGAAATCATGTCATTTCTGCAACATGTCTAAATCACTGGTATCGAGTTAGAAATAAACCACTTTTTAATTATTAGGGGGGAGGTGTCAACTGTCAATTGCACCCAACAGCGTTGATTCTTTGCCAAAAACTTAAAAAAGGATGGTTTTGTCGCTGTCAACAAGCACTAATTTCCAACTACTATCAAGCTATTTTTTTCCCTTCTGTGAGTGTCTACTGTGTTTACACGATGAATGGACGGTAAATCTTAACGGGGATTTCCATTATCTTTTAGCTGTGTAGTGCATTCAATGTTTTTCATTTCTTCTAACCAAAAACATGCTTTTGCCCTTAATACCCGGCTAACGTTCTGTCAATGGACGCCTAAACGACTGTATTTCGTAATTTCTCTCCTTTCATGAACATGGGGAAAATGTTTAATCTCCATGCAAACATTTAGGTTGAAGTTCGGAATAAAAAGGGGAAAAGCTAAAAGAGCAACAAGATAAAGAAGCTAGCATCTATCTAACCATATCTAATCAAAAGTTTAATGGAGGCTATCGGAAGGACCGGTATGTCAATTCAAAATAGGATTCGCATAGAATGGACGCCCAGACGACTGTATTTCGCAATTTTTCTTCTTTCATAAACATGGAGAAAAAGATTTTCCATGCAAACATTTAGGTTAATGTTCGGAATAAAGTGGGAAGAAGTTGAAAAAGCTAGCCTCTATCTATATATATATATATATATATATATATATATATATATATCTAATCAGAAGTTCAATGGAGGCTATCGAAAGGACCGGAAGACAAATCCCCTAGCCCCCCCCCCCTCTCTCTCTCTCTCTCTTTCTCACTCTCTCTCTCTCTTTAGAGGCGGCGCTCCCGGTGGGCAGGGGGCAAAGTGCTTCCCCACTATTTCAAGTACCCACAAAGTGCCCCTTATACTTTGACTAGTGCCCCTATTACTTTGTAAAAGTGCCTCTTTTTTCATATCTGAAAAGTGTCCCTTTTATTTTGACACGTGCCCCTTTTTTATTTGCAATAAGTGTACATGTTCCATTCTCATATGTGCCATTTGTAATCCCTAGTTAGTGCCAATTTTCAAGTACGAGAAATGCCCATTCTCACTTTTGATAAGTGCCCAATTCAGCTCTGATAATTGCCCGATTCAAATCTGAGAGTTGCCCCTTTTACTTCGACAAGTGCCCCTTTTCCTTTGTTAAAAGTGCACCTTTCCCTTTTAATAAAGCTACCCCTTTTTAACTCGGAAAGGCGCACCTTATAATTTCACATGTGTCCCTTTTATTTTCTTATAAGTGCTTTTCCTTATGATAAGTACCCCTATATAAAAGAGAGCCCCTTCCCTTCTCGCAAGTACCCCCTTTTCATCCCTAGTAAATGACCCTCATCAGGTACGAGAAGTTACTCCTTTCACTTCAGACAATTGCCCCTTCACCTTCAAAAATTGCCCCTATTCAAATCTGAGAGATGTATGTTTTACCTCGTAAAGAGCCCCTTCCCCTCCTGATAAGTGCTCTTTTCATCTTCGATGGGTGCTCTTTTTTGAAACTTTAATAAATGCCCCTCTATTTATTATTTTCCTTTGACACGCGCCCCTTTTCATAGTCTGTTCAGTGCCTCTTTTCACTTCTGATAATTTCCCTTTTAACAATGAAACGTGCCTCTTTTCCTTTTTAATAAGGGACATATCCCCTTTTCACCTCTGATAAATGCCTCTATCAAAACCCGATGGGTGCCCCTTGTCCGTCGACGAATATAATTATGTTACTTATCAAAGGTCATTCCAGTCTTCCGTTATGAGAATTTGCTTGTTAATGAATGAGGATTGGGTCTTTTCCTCTTTATAAGATGTAATTTTTCGTACTGCGACCTCACAAATCTTAACATTTTTTCTCGCTTGCTTCGCTTTTTTTTAGACCATCACACCCAACTATAAAGTACGTTGCATATTAAAGCAAATCCTTGTATGATGTATAAAGAGAAACAAATATTAATTGAAATTATCCCTGATAGTGTATTCAGATGTAGGCGTATGCACTAATGCAAAAACAAAAACTGAATATTTTCGTTTTGAGATTTCAGTTTGTAGGTGCCCTTTTTCCAGAAAGAGTCCTTTTTGGGAAGTCACTCTCTTTTGTAACTTTCTTTTATCTTTATTCGGTTTAAATAATAGTGTAATCTTGCATTGTTTTTGCCTATTCGAGAGTAGTATTATAAAAAGTAATTTGGTGAGGACAACAATGATTATGAGATGAGTTCCCAAATGTCTACGTGAAAATTCTTTAAGTAGGCCGTCGTTATCAGCAGACTTTCCAGTAGGCATTTCATAAAGTACTTTATTAAAAGCACTCGTTTTACAGTTTGCCTTCACAAAGCTCAGTTTTATTCTTTAGATAAGCAATTCCCGTCTACGTTTAAGAACTTCTGCCTGATGCAAATTGTTAGAGCCAATCGCACGTGCTGTCTAATGAATATGCATAAATATCGTGACGTATCATTTGACCCGGCAACGCCCCCCGACCTCTAGTTCTGCACATCGGATGCTTTCCAAAGTCAAAGGTGATTGCAATGACAGTCCCAGAGCTACTTGGCGCTAATCAGCTATTTCTTTCGAGATTTCCTCAGGTCATTTATTACCTTGCACCGTTTGCTTATCGATCCCTCCCCTCCAACCATTCCACCTTCTCCTATGCCTCCTTCCTTTTCTCATTTTTCTACTTCTTCTTCTTCTTCTTCTTCTTCTTCTTCTTCTTCTTCTTCTTTTTTTACCATAATTTTTCTCTTGTTTTTCTTCTTCTTTAATACCGGTATATCGTCATGCTCCTACGGTTAATACTAAGCTTGAAGCTTTTATTTGGTGTTGTCGTATATGACTCGTACCCTCGATCAGGTATCACCTATCCTCATCTTCATCACCATCATCAGCATTCAGATTGAGATTCAGAAAAATGTTATTGGTCCATTTGGAAATTCAGTTGTTGGCATTTCATAAAGCACATGAACAATATACGATAGAAAATAATATACACAAATAGATAATACAAAGTAGCAAATTTACAATGACAACTTATATGGAAACACAGATATAAATCGTTTGTACATAGTGGAATAATATAAGAAAATAGGATAAATATATGGACTCACAACACTATTTAAAATGTACGATTGCGTAGAATTCGGAAATAGTATTGTTATTATCTTTTATTATTATTATTTTTAGAATTTGTATTGTTATTATCATGATCGTTAACAACAGTATTCATCATCATAATCTTCATCATCATTATCACCATTATCAACTTCACCATCACCATCATCATCATCGTCATTGTCATAATCATTATCATCATCACCATCATCATCATCATCATTTCCACCATCATCGTCGTCGACATTGTTGTTGTTCAATTGTTATCAGTCACATGCTAATAAGTAGGCCTACATTTACTATTACACTTCAATTGACATTGATTTGACAATGAAAAAATGGAGTTTCTCGATTTATTAAAATGTCACGTTTGCGCACGATATTGTTCTGGTAAGATGTTACTCAGTTAACTTCAGTACGTTGTAATTCTTCAATCACCAAATCAATAATAGTAGTTTGAAATGCATCGTTGGAAAATGGGCATAAATTCTGTATTAGTTAATAATTCTTAATCATCTAATTCTTAAAATCCTTTTTTTTTTCTTTCAAAAGGCAAATTGCAAATTAAAAAGTCTTACACATTTATGTATTGTGCTTTTTCCTAAATTTTAAGGATAACAGTTTTTCAGTTTGCACAATTTGTGGGTCGTAACATTAAAGTGTGAATTCAAAGAAAATCACAAATATATCAACTAATGTATCACTAGAAACTGGTAAGCTAACAGATGGCCATCGTACAAGTTTTAGGTCAACTACATATCGCGTGATTTATAAAACAAAATACAAATACAACCACCTCCATAGCATCTGGGATATACGAGAAATTCGCCAGAAAAATGACGATGTTTTAATGACGTCACATAATGTACCAATACTGCCCAAGCAGACGACATCCCATAAAGAATAAACATAATTTCAAAGCTATTATTTCTCATATTATAATGAGTTTAGTGTATATAAATGTGATGGCATTTCAAACCATTCAAAAGGGGATATGAAACCGATTCTGATAACTAAAATATTTTGTTTGTAAATACACTGGATAGGGGATAATTAACAAAGAAAACAAACTTTCAAATTGAAAAACCCCCAGAATGATATAAAGGACAGCATTTTTTCCCTCTTGAAACGCCGGCAAACATACAGCGGTGTGTGCAGCTGAATATACAATGGCGTCTTATTTTGTTAACACACTACAGATTCCTTTACTTTTGCATCGCTGCATTTGTCATCAAAATAAAACCATACGCGTGGTTTAGAATGAAGCAATATAATATAAATTTAGCCCGACGGAAGTGAAGTAAGAGAAAGAACTCAAAAGAAGATAAAAAAACAGGCACTGAAAATGTGTGAGTTGATCTCACACATCTCAGCAACGTTCGGAGAGCTCTTCAGGTGCTATGCCAGGGCTGTATATAAGCGTTTTGTAATTTATAATAATCATTACTTCGAATGTTTCCTAGCATTGAATTTTGATAACCTTGCTGAATCAAAGTATCAACTTTGCAATAATGAAAATAAAGTTAGTTTTTAAAATTAATGAATTTCTAATTTAAATAATTGTGGATTTCATCTACATTTGCATCTGCTTGTGGAGTTTAACATTTATGATACTGTAGTATGTATAATTGATTATTCTTTTAACAAAATATATTATTTAGCTATTTCATATTAATATTGTATTATGCAGTTTGTTAACATATTGTTATCACTCTATACATCGCTATCTGATGACGATTCGTTTGTTAATAGTATCCGGGTTTATTCAATCTGAGTATACATTTATTATTTCTACAGCATGTTCTCTAGGTATAAAATATAAACGGAACAAAATTGTTTCAAGTGCAAAGAAATATTTAGACAAAAATACATATAGTAGTATTCTTTTAACAAAAATAACACTGAAAATATAACAATGACAAAATGCTAAATGACGATTGAGAGCAAAATGAAGATGAGTGAGCACTAGCGGAATAGATTGGTGTTTTTTGTAAAATCAAAACGTCATGGAGTGGCAGTGGTTTGTAGTTCACATACATGCTGTATTTTAACAATAGATACATGTAGGTGTTTATATTTAAACACATTCACCCCTCAGCCTTCTTAATTCTTGATCTAATACTCTGCCTCTGGCTTTTCGCGTTTGTTTGCTACCCATATAGGCCCTAACAGACTCCAATATTCATAATTATATTGACCAGACTTTAAATATACTTCGTCCCTTTTGCAGCCAACATCAAATTCTGTAAAACTTTGCAGGAATTATGAATATGTCATGTATGTCCATTTGTAAATCAGACTATTACTTACTGGCTCTATAGCTTAAGTCGATTCAACAACTAATAGTCATTTTTAAGCCCCTTGTTTTTTAGGGAAGTTCTATATAGGTATATATGAGCATACAATACATCACACAGGGACGTGAGGATATGACCCTTTCTGTGACCTTGTTAGTATCAAAATATAATGAATCAGATTGCTCATGCTTTTGCTTTTGCTCGTTTGAATATTATTTAAAAATATCTAATCCACGAGGCTGTTGTTGTCTTTTTGTTATTGTTGTTGTTGAAGCTGATCATCTGACTTGTGTGTACATATTGGACAAAACTTAAGTATGCCTTCATCATTGGTCCCTCCGATCCCCTGGCTTTTAAGCGCACCGGTATAATGTATTTTTAATTTTAATTCAATTCAATTCAATTCAATTCATTTAGATTTTTTACATTGTATTTTTTTGACGTATTTGCTAACATGAACATTCAGTAATATATTTCTTACAATAGTATTTACATGATACGAGAAGAGAAACTATTGGTTGCTTAAAAAGGCCATATTATAGCAAATGTGCTAGTCGAGCCTAGCCACTCACACCTAAAATATGTAGTTTAGTACAAGTAAGTTCAGAAAACGAAACAAAACAAAAAATCATGAATTTACTACTACTATGGATATTTAAAAAGAAAGAATTAGTCTTAACAATGTCTTACAATATACAAAATGATAACATGAAATAGATTTTTAGTACATAATTATCCAGATTATTTACATGGATTTATCATTCATAATTTGTTGAACAAATGACTTTTAACTGAATTCCGAATTCTATTTTAGACCTTGTAAATATGACATTAATATGAAATTCACTACCCACACATAAAGTGACTGAATATTGACCTTGTGTTGTTTTAAATGTTAGAAGACGTAATTGTCCACCTTCCTTTATCATGTTTAAAAATAAGGTCTGTCAACACCGTTTCCCTGATAGAATAGGTTTTGGAAAAAAATAAATGGCGGGAAACAAACATAAAGCAAGGTATATTATCAAACAGAAACATTGAAGAAATTGCATTTTATACCACACATACCCAGCATACAACATGATAGGACAGAAAGGAGGAAGGTTAGGAAAGAAGAAAGAAGAAAGGAGTAAAAAGGAAACAAGAAGAGAAAGGTAACTTGATACATAAATTCAGTGATGTTCACGTATGATAAGAAACTGTTTAAGTTTACTAAGCCTAAAGTACTCCACTCGCCACTACTCATTGAATTATCAGCACCTTTAGACAGTTTGCTGTTGGACTTGACTTATCAAACCGTTTACTTTTAGTATTTCGTCTTGCATTTGGTCTCGCATCTGACACAGCTTCTGGAGTAGAGTTTGGTCTGTCCTTCCATCGGGCTGGTCTTCAATATGACTGCACGATGGCTTCTTCATCTTCAACTGAAGAGATACAAATGAATTGATAGAACAGTACGTAAACGAAGACCCCTAACGTATTAAAGTATTCAAAGTGGGGGGGGGGGGCTAAAGTATTTACAATTAGGTGGAGCGTAGCGAGCATTAATTGGCGTGGGGTCTAGGGGCAGAACCCCCTGACGCTTAGGGATTTTAGCAGGCCAGGGGTGGTGGAGCGTCGTTTAAAGTGGGGAGGGGGCACCAACAAAAAAGGGCACTTTTCGGGGAAAAGGGGCACCTACAAAGGGAAACCTCAAAGCAAAGATATACAATTTTTAGACATTGCTATATACCCCTACATTGTGATTACATTATCAGTGATGATTTCAATGCTGCACACTAAGAAATAGGGATACATTTGGGGGTGCAGATCGCTGCTACAATAGCAGCCACCTATAGGGTGCAAGTCTGCAATACGTGGCTGCCATTGTAGAAGCGGTCTGCACCCCTAAGGGTGCTCTTTTGCACCACTAAGGGTGCAAGTCTGCAAAATTGCACCCTATAGGTGGCTGCTATTGTAGCAGCGGTCTGCACCCTATAGAGTGCAAATTTGTAACATTATTTTTAAGTGTGTGGTTACTCTCTTTAAATGGTCCAAGATACTGCGTAAGCATCATACATGTATTTTACAGCGAGCGAAGAGAGTGACCAATGTTGAAAAATCATGAGTATATTGCTTCAAAGCCTAGTACATAAAACAGCAGTATGTGGAGGGCATTTACATCAATATAACAAAAACATAGTAATGAGTGGTACACTATAAAGTATAGCTCACAGAATACAGCGAAGAAATCATCGCAACAAATTTACAACGACATTTATCTGAAAAGACAAAGAGCACATGTCAAAGTATAATGGGGAATTATCAGAGGTGGAATTGTGATCTCCTCGCACATAGTAAGGGACACTCAACACAGATGAAAAAGACACTCATAACAACGGAGAGGGGTGTTTATTACAAGGTAAAAGGGCATTTATCAGAAGGAAAATGGCACTTGTCAAAATATAAGGGAAACCTCTCAGATTCTCTTTAACGTCATTTTTCAAAAAGTGTGGGAGGAGGGTCTCGTTTCGTCTCTGACGTCTGGTCTCTTCTCCCCTCCTCCCTGTCTATTTTTTTTATGTGGTGGAGGGGGGGCACGTCACCCGGTCACCCCTCCCCAAATCCACCACTGATAGCTGGAATCGTAATAACATATATGGGCCTATCTATAATTTACCTGGTTACGAAGTTCTTCTCTCTCTTGGTTCCTCTTACATACCGCCCTCACGCTTTCTCGAAGCTGTTCGAAATCGATCACGGAAGCAAACCACGTTCGATACCTAGTTAATTTAGACCCGCGTGACAGTTCTATCTTCAGGGATTGAACCGTGATTGGGAGCCATCTAATGACGTATTCACCTAGAGGCGTGCCGAGCGCCATATTCTCAGCAGATATGACTCGATCGACCTGATAAAGGTGTAAACAGGAGACGTTATTTCTATGTAAGAAATAGCCTATCCGATAGGCGTCGGGCTAAATGGCAAGTGTACTAATCGCGTTATGGAGACTGACATCGGCGCGGGCGTCAGCCCGAACGCCTATCATCACTAGTCAACTCATCATTATTCATATATGTGTATCGTATGCGTGACTAGCGTATTCTCATGCATGATTCATAAGACTAGCCTTATTTGGTGATCGATCACTTTGATTCAACCAATCAAACATCATCTCCAGGTTCCTAATCACTCATTTGCCTATTTTGGTCCATGCTACATAAATATTCATGAAAGAGCTTTACAGGGGTGTTGTAGATTTTCTACGAACGAAACACTGTACATAAACGAAAATAAAACTTTTCGCATGCACCAGTGATGAAAGGCCGCCCGCGCCGATGGTCACTCTCCATATAAACGCGATTAGTATACTTGTAAAGCCCGACGCATATCGGATAGGCTATGTTAGAAACTGTGTTACATCATTACTTTGTCATGCAAGATTCCCAAATCCATCAAGAGTATTTTTTTTGTCGATTGTAGAAGTGACACAACGTAGCACGTGTGATCACTTTGGTGCCTAGGTCACATATAAACCGGGCCCCGTACGATTTTCCCTACCCGGCGGCTTGCCGTAGATTTAGAGACCGTACGGGAACCTTCCGATTTTAATTTCTATGGCATGTGTGGTCACATATTCTGCGGTGCCCGGGAGGTGCCCGGTGAAAATTGGTCGAGTGGAATGCAAGGCGCCGGTAAGGGTGCCGGTAGGGTGCCGGCCGGTAAGCTTACGGGCTCCGTCCGATGAGCAGGTGCACCCATGGCTCCGGGAAGGTGCCCTGTCAGGGCCCGGCCGGGGTCCTCAAGGAGCCCGGGCGGGTGCCTTGCGGTGCACCTGCTCATTGGACGGAGTCCTCTGACAATCGCACCTCCTGTATTTAAAGCTGGGTTGTACATTATGAGATGCCGCACGGGCAATATTCATTTCAAATGGTACGGCACCCGGCCGGGCGCCTTGACGACCCCGGCCAGGCCCCGGCAGGGCACCTTCCGGAAGCCATCGGTACACCTGCTCATCGAACGCAGCCCGTAAGATTACCGGTCGGCACTCGTCCGGCACCCTGCCGGCACCCTTGCGGGCGCGTTGCCTTTCACTCGACCAATTTTCTCCGGGTAACTCTCGGGCGCCGCAGAATATGTGACCACACATGCCGTAGAAATGAAAATCGGACGGTTCCCGTACGGTCTCTAAATCCACGGCAAGCCGCCGGGTAGGGAAAATCGTACGGGGCCCGGTTTATATGTGACCTAGGCATTAGGAAGCACATTCGAATAAGTCCTTCCCTTCGCCAATTGAATTGTCTACCTATACATTAGAGAATCGTGTTCAAGATGTGTTTGACTACCTTATAGATTCCACACGGACAGGCCCCAGAGTACATGTCTGTAGCTCAGCCAGTGAAATCATTGAGGACTTCAGAAGCCACGGGACTGGTTGTGCTAATGACAAGGACGGTTACCTATACAGAGACAGATCCTTCCCCAGTTGTACCCGTTCTCTGGAACTTACTTTCTTCTTATTTGAGGAAGTTATAGATTCCACAGATCAATTCAAATCAGCTGAAAGTGTATCTTTTTATCTATAATTTGACATTCAGTACCTGTAGATTATCTGTTAAGCTATTTTCTTAAAAGTAATTTGCATTTTATGTGATATAAATGCATTTATTACTATGAAGAAAGTTTTGTATACAAAAATTGTAGGCATGATTTTCACTAAAGTAATAAGGAAAAGGGTGAACAAGAAACAACTATTAGACCCCGTTCTCACTCACTTTGAAAGTGGTCTTAGTTAGACCGCTCCAGACCGCTCCAGAGGAACGGGTCTTGAGGAACGGTTTGCGAGCGTTCACACTCCGAGCAGTTTTTATGGCTCAAACCACTCCAAACCACGAGTCAAAGTGGTCTTGTTGCTATGGCAGCTCAGGTAGGCGGGTCAATTTTTTCGCGCGCGGAATCCAAACCGTATGTACCGTACTACATGTTTCGCACCGAAGGTCACTAGCTCACTTCCGTTCAAAGTACGCTTTCCGTTCACATTGCACGTTAGAGCGCTCTGGAGCGCTCTTAATAAGACCCGCTCCTCAAGACCACCTCGGAAGGTGGACTTCTGGAGCGGTCCAGAAGTCCGCTTCCTGGACCACTTTGAGCGTTCTCACTCACCTAAGAACCGCTCCTGAGGAGCGGGTCTTAGTTAGAGCGCTCCAGAGCGCTCCAACGAAGTGAGTGAGAACGGGGTCTTAGATATTATCTGATCTCCAAGTTTTAATGGCGGGAGGGGGCTTACCCTCTTTTTGATGATATCTATAGTCATAGCAAATTTTCCAATAACTTGAATCTAAAATATCCTTTATTTAAGGTCACAGAAATAAACCCACCTTGAGTTTCATGTAATAGAATGTTGCCTTCTGCCGTATGCCATGGATATCTTCAACAGCCACACCAATCTGTATAGAGGACATTGAATTATTTTAATATTTAAATGGATTTTTGTATATAAATATATACTTATATAAAGATATGAGAGAATAATGGTCATGTAGCTGAAATCAAATTATCTATTGCTGTCCTCCTTTTTGGAAATGTTTGCTTATATTGAAAACATGTCTCATACATATCCGCCGCCAAACGTCGCCTGATCCCTGCATGGATTTTAAAACGCCGATTTTTTAATCACTACACAACGGATATGACCGTTTTGGCGACACCTGATTGACTATCAAATGACCATCAGTTTGACATATCTTCTATCTTTAGTTATGCTTTGGCGAGGGCAGGTGAGTGTTTGAGTAATGAATAGCCGCGTGCCTCAGTTGGATCCTAGCTTTTCGGTATTTTTGATTTTTCGACAGTATTATGGGATGGTACTGGACGTGAATCAAACCGTACACCCCTTATGAGTTCAAAAGTCCGGTGACCAATCTGCTACACCACGACGTCTACTTACTAACAGATTCATGGCAATGATGGGCATCACGATGGCGAAAACCACGAACATAACACTTGTGATGAGGTCGGAAAAGACAGATGTCAGTACGTAGTCCTCCTCTGTACTGACATTCTCCGTACCCAGGTAGTTCTGAGAATGAAATATCCGACTAAAATCCAGTTCGCCTGTCGTCATTGCGATCGTCCGAAGGAAGGAGTCCCCGAAGGAGTGAAAATCCGTCTAAGAAAGAGTACATGAACAACAGATGGGACTGAGAAAAAACTGTCGTTATTGTAAAGTCGTCAGCTGCCCGCATATGAAGAAGCCAGAATGTCGTACAAGTCATGTATTGACAATGGTAGTAAATGCAGCGGACAACAACATTTTAAAATTGCTTTTATCGTCGCTGTGCGACATTAAATTCGTGAAGAGTATTCAAACCTAAAAAGGGTTTGACCATTGAACTTTCCTAGGCGAAAGACCGATGTGGACAACCGTCCACCGACAACTCCTAAAGCTAAATTACATACAAACTACAGAGACTATAGAGAAGCCTTTTTTTTTAAATCGCATGCTCACCTGGTTCAGTAGTAACGTGTTGAATGCCAGAGCAAATGCAATCAGGAACAGCAAGATGACGGCCAGAAATTTGACAGTGCTAAAAAGAACATCTAAGTAGAAATAAAATATGGATAGTGTGACGAATCTTAACTATTGTATCATATGCATATTCATGTTGATGTAAATGTATGCGCATGGGCATTCGATGAATTAGTGAATTTGGAGCTCCAATAAACCACCACAGTCTTGGGTAAAACTTTTTCGTTAACATTTCGATATTTTGAGTAATTGTGTGTGTTATGTAGGTATGAGGGATAATAAATAAAACATGTAGAGCCCTCTCATTGTAATAATAGTACATATGTTGTAGGTCTTCAAAATAGAAAAGGATGCAGGACTTTGATACAGCGCTTGTTTGGAGCCAGAAGGTCGTTAACCCATATGATTTATACACTTCTGACTCCAGGCTAGCAGAACAGATTTTGAACTTTGACCTTTCATTCATTTCGTGTAGCGGAACGAATTGGAAAGTCGACTGTCACTACATCACATCGACATTACTGATTTGGGCGATTTTTAATTTCTCACTTTTTCGATCTTGTGATATTCAACTTTAAAAATCCTAACTTTCATCAGTCTGCTTCTCTGAAATTGCCTGCTTTTTTTAAAAAGAGAAACCAGTTGCCTGGGGTTGGATTTAAATGAAGGTTTAGATTAATCAGTATTCAAGGTATTCAAAGTGTTCGAATTTTATGATGTCTATTTATCTCACTTAGTTTAATACAGAAATAAGCAATAAATCCTATTGTCATAGATTAGTTCACTCAGCCGAAAATAATCTATTATGCGTCGTTGAAGCATTAATTTACCGTTTGTAAAAAATATGAGGCCATACCTTCAAACATGATGACGTAGATGCCAAGGGTCGATGTCTGCCGAACGTAGAGGGCAAGGTTTATCCAGGCCAGGAAAATAGCCAGTGCTCCACACTGCCATTGCCATTTCTGTCAGATTAGGACCAAGATATACATTCATTGAAACACAATCGCAAAGACTTTAGACAAAATAATCATCATAAGGCTAGCTCAATAGCCTTGTCCATCACCCATTGAAATGTAGGAATATTTCCATGACGTTTGACGTAATCCGACCATGAATTCAACGTGACATACATGTTCCGTATTTAGATTTACCTTGAGTTAATTTCTCGAAAGTATTTGCGATTATTTATTATTTATACATTTATACATATTTATTCAGGTACACAAGATCTGAAATAAATCTATTTTGCATCTTGGACCCGGTATTAAAAGCATCATATATAAATAAGTAACAATAAGAAAGTATAACAAAAAAAGTAAAATCATATTGCTCCGGTTGTCTCATTTTCGCCAGCACAAACGTAGCTAGTTTGCGTATATAGCAGACGGCAATCGGCGGATCAGACGACACTTGATAGTGATTTTGTATGTGAGATTGCTTTGCTAAATATAAAATACAATAATCGTTTCCATATCTTTAAACTATCATTGATATCTGATAATTAGACAGTTAGTAAAATAAACCTACCAAATTACATAATACAATGAAATACTTGACTGAAAGTAGGGGAGTTTGATGTGGTGCACAATTGCACCCCTCTGTTAATAATCGAATAGTCCATGGAGTTTATGAATATTCATGTTTTTGCTTACCTCGGCAAAATGCTTGCCTATACTAAATGGAAAAATTACGGTAGGGGGGGGGGTTGGCTGAACAAATCAGAACTAATCTATGAGAATTCATGCTTATTATCCTTCGTGGGCTTGACTTATAACCTTACAATCGAGTGGTAAATTGCGTCCAAAGTTCGACTTGTTGCACATGTGTTATATAGGCAATGGCGAGCTGGCGACCTATTTTGACCAACTTACGGTGGGTAAACTTCAAAAGTCAGTGGGGCATGAGGGGTCCAATGAAAGAGCTAGTGATAACGTATGTCGGGCTGGATGTGCTTTTTGTTTAAACAAAACAAAAAAATTAACGATTTTTTTTTTTTTTTTTTTGGTGTAAAAGTCCATGGGCTAACATGTTTATAGGCTGCTGAACTCTGACGATAGAGGGCGTTGTCAAATGAGACTAAACGGAGCTATATTTACAAAATACATCATAGTAATACAAAATATGGTAGGATAATCATGCAAGGTCTTAACAAAAAAAAATCAAATATGAATGAAGGCTACATAAAACAATATCAACATAAATATAGTCATATAACAGTATACAAATGTAAGGTTTCAGCTCAGAGATTGGGGTTATTACAATGGATTCGATTTTGATATTTTTTTGGTACAATAATTTGAAAATATCCAGAGACTGAGCATTTTGAAAGTTATTGGGTAATAGATTCCATACTTTAGCACCGGCATATTTTAAAGACTGACTGTAAAGTTGAATGTTTGATTTAGGCGACACAACATACAGGGAAGTACAGGTAACATTCTGCGTATTCAGTCCATGTCTATCGAAATACCTTTTAATCTCATTGCATAAACGGGATGGGGCAATACCGTGAACACATTGGTACGTCAGTGTAGATAGAAAATAATCACTTCGATTCTAAATTATTTGCCAAGGTAGATTTTTCATCAGATCAAGGCCAGGGGGCGTTTCACCAAACTTGTCATCAGTGACAAATGACAGTTTTTGTTATAAGCAACTGAAATCCTTGCTTCTGATTGGTTATCAACAAATTTGTCACTGAATTCTGTAATTTGTCATTGAAAAAAGGCTTCGCGAAACGCCCCCAGAGGTATGAATATAATCGTAATTACCGGTTACATGAGGAGCCGCCCTTTTCTGGAGTCTCAAAAGGGGTAATTTATATTTATTAGGACAGTTACCCCCAAAATAGTAGAGAGTGTGCTTACCTCTCTTAACTCGTATCCTTCGTACTTTGCTCCACTGACCGGAATAACCAGGAAAAATGTAAGTACGTAGATGAACCACTCCAAAAGGCTCTGGTAATTAACCCATAGCCTGCCATGAGGCTGCACGCACGCTACCTATTGAGTGCCATGTGCGTGCAAGGGCGCTTTTGTAATAGCAGTTATTGTTCATGCTCATTGGGCTGTGCTGTGTGTTTTGCACTCGCCATTCATAGAACTATCGCGTTAATCAGATTATCTCCAAAACAACCTGGCACAGTGGGGATTAGCCCTGTGGCACGATAAGAGTTAATGTAGCTACGACCCTGGCTGTACATGTGAAATATCTACAGCAAAAAAAAATGAAACCATAGGATGTTACCCAAGAAATGCACGATTTGGGAATGGTCTTTAAATGCATTTCAGGTCAGAATAATATATTTATATCAGTAAAAAAAAACGGTAGACCTTGACAGTGATATTTTAAGAATGATGTTGAGGAGAAAGATATTGCACTCATCCGAGTCTGCACCCACAATAATCAACAATGAACAAAGAGCCAAAATCCGACGTCGGCATACAGATATCCAAGATACTTAATGAACGATTGCATTAGCTGCAATGTTATGATGTAACCCATTTTGTCGCCCCTTTTCCCTCTATTGAAAGCTTACACTACTTGTATTTCACATGTTCATTTCTTCTTTGTTCTAATGTTAATGTATATTTGTATTGGTGATACAAGGCCCTTAGGTCGAACAGTTATCTAATTTAAAGTGAAAGAGGTACCTTGTCAAAGTAAACCGACAAATAAACAAACACATAACAAGATCCCGAAGACTTTCCAGAAACCAACTTTCAATACTTTATTGTATTTCCAGAAGAAATCATGCCCGGGTGATTGATGTTCATAATTTTATTCATCATGATCGTGTTTTCACACAAGGCTATCAAAATTACCTCCGGTTAAGTGTTTGAAAGTTGTAGCGATCGTGTTAACTAAATCAATCTTTCTTATTTTTCTTTTCTCTTCTTTTTGATGTTTTAAAACAAAACATTTTGTTTCCTCTCAGAACAAAGAAATGTTCATTACTCTAGTCTTATTTATAATATGAAGCGATTATAATGGTTTGTTTACATGATTGTATTAATAAAGTGTTTTTCATATTTTGTTTGTTTTGTAGTGTTGTACACTTTTTTAAGTTTTTGAGAAAAAATTACTATGCGAGAAATTTGAGAATAATTTGCATTTTCTGTCTTGTATGAAAGAATGCAAATATTTAAAAAAAGATAACCTCTTTGATAATGTTGAGAATGACCAATACCAACAAGAATACATAACTTTTACCCCCGAAGAGGGACCTGGAAACCTCAGAGTACGTTGTTTCGGGCAGGAGCTTATCCGGCTCGTAATACCAGATGATGGTCGATATGTTGGTAAACTTGATGAAGGAGGAAGGGGGGTTCACCAAGACATAGCCGGTGAGGAAAGCAAGAAAGAAGAGGTAGACGATGAGCGATACCGAGTTCACAGCCGATCCCAGGATGCGCCATTTGTGTTCAATGAGTTTGATGGAGAGAGGGTGGGTCAGGAGATTGGCGTGGCGCTCCTGTCCTTGCTGAAGGTCAAAGGTTATAAGGTCAAAGGTAATAATCAATACTTCACCTTTGAAAGGTGTGTTAAACTTTTAGATCTGCCCATTTATTTACCCACTTGATAGACAATACATTTTTAACATGTTCTCCATAAAACTTGTGTGACTTTATATTATAATGTATAACGCACTTCCGGTTTAGTATTTTTAAGGTGTGTTAAATAATAATAATAATAATAGTGTTCTTGTATAGTACTTACCAAAATTATGGTATGGTCACTTTTGAACTTCTTAATTTCTCTTTTTAAATATGAAATGGAAGCACTTTTTTAAGTTTTTGAAAAGGGAGGTTGGTGGAATGTTAATTTTCTATAGGGATGTTATTCTTTTTTTTTCTCGCAGATTTTGATATGGATATGTTAAAAGCTTAGATCGACGATACAGGATCAGTTTTAAGAAGAAAAAAAAAGAGATTTCAGAAAGAAACGAAATCCTATTCAAAAATGAATTTATGGATGCACACTATACGATAGAAATTGTAATTTGAAATGAAAAAGCTACTTTGATAACATGGGTTTCAGTGCAACTGAAATAAAGAAAATTAATCAAATATATTTGGCATTACCGTAACATGGAAAACATTCTTGAACAAAAACGACTTTGATGTTTTTGAAACAGGGTTAAAAATGCAATTTCTCTTTAAGAAAAAGTTTGTGATTTAAATGATGTAACTTCAAAATTGTTATTTACAGCTTTAACACCTGATGAAACAAATATATATATTCTGTGTCTAATAAATCTATGCAGCTTTATACATTGACTGAAGAAGAAATGTAAAAGGTATTTCTCATATTAAGGACATCCACTTTGAACTACGATAGTTTCAGTATATGGTATTGAACATTGTTTACACTAACACATATTTACAGGTTTGGCTTCGTAAAGGATGGTCTGTGTTAATTTTGTCAAAATAATGAGGAATTGTATAAGCATACCTTTTTATGAATGTGAACAAATCATTAATTGTACAAAACTGTTTTTCAGTTGCCTATACTACAGAAATTAAATTGGAAAGAAATTCATATATTTGCATTAAACTAACCCAGGTAGAAACGAAATAATTTGTAAATCATCTAATTTTATTGGTAACATATATAACATTACAATTTTCGATGGAAAAAAAATTGTCGTTCTATGATTAAAAAAATACAAGAACAAACGTCGGAAAGTAGTGAGGAAAAAAAATTGGCAGAAGAAAGTTGCACTTTAATATTTCATTAATTTAAATTAAGAACGTAAAGAGAACAGTGACAAATTAATTAAACTACACTTCATCATTTACTATGAGAATTATTAGCATTATTATTAGTTTTGTTACTTCTCTTTCGATCACATACCTGAAGACTGGTTGGGGAAGAGGGGTGGGGCGGGGATGAGTGTAATAGGAATGGAGTGAGTGAATGAAGGTGGCGTGTGTTTGTGTGACTATATGTGTGTATGCATGGGGGATGGAAAGACGGGTGTCTTTTGTTTTTGTGTGTGTTTTGTGTTTTGGTTTGTTTTTAGTTGTTGTTGTTGTTGTTGCTTTCTTCTAGATAAAGTCTCTATTTTCAGGGGTAGTACCATGCTTTATATAAAGATTATAATCATTTTATGTACATAGCATTTTTTTTTTTATTTACTAGAAATGTTAAAAGTATGTATATTTTTAATACATTTTCTTTTTTTATTGTTTTAAATGAAACTTGACATGTGCAAAATAGTTTTGGTCTGTAACTGATTTCACTTCTGAAGGATATAACTTTGCTTTGATTTGTACTATACTACCTCTGTTGCTCTCTCTCTCTCTTTCTCTCTCTCTCTCGCTCTCTCTTATTCTCTCTCACTCTCTTTCTGTTGCTCCTCTCTCTCTGGGGCCCCACCCATTTAAAAAATAATATTTGATTAAAGGAGCTACATATTAAAATGCTTACCATAAGTGCCAATGGATGTTGACCTTTCTTGATTTGAGAATACTTAGGTTTGTGTTTACGGTCCACGAGAAGATTACCATCGTCATCAAAAATTTTGGTGGGATCGATTGAAGCGGTGCCGGTGGAAGTGGTGGCAACGGTGGCGACGGTGTAAGCGGCGGCGGCGGCGGCGGCGGCGGTGGGGGCTTAATAGTTAAATGTAATTACTTATGTAATTGTGTTGAAGTGTCTTTCAAATGGTTTCAATGTGACAGGCGTGCAAGTAGTTTTACACTGTTCAGATTAAAACTATCCTTGACTTGAGTCAAACATGAGTTTTTGTCAGTGTCTTTGCAAAAGTACTTTCTAAACTTGTTTGTTTTGAGGTGTATTTTAATATAGACACCCACAATCTATAAACAAACTCTTTAATAACTTTAATAAGACATAATGCAAAAAAGGGAATTTGCAATTTTCAAACTTTTATTTACTACAAGGCATGACAGATAATATATGTTCTAGATTTTCTATACTTCAGGTTAGGTAAACTAGTAAAACTGCTTTTACTATGCACAAAGGGCGGTGTCAGTACTAGCCGATTGTATATTGCTATAAAAATCCAGTTAAAATTTACGTAATGAGTCATTGAAATGTTCTTAAAAGTCAAAAGGTGAAGGAAGATTCTATTTATTCAATTGGCTTAGGTTGTTTTTCGAAAGTATTTGCGATCGATTTTACTTAACATACCTTTATTTTGCAGAGCCCAAGGTGAGTAGTAGTCGTCTAGAAGTTCAAGATCGAACTTGACTTCATCATTTTCAATCAGCGTGATACATCTGTCCATTACAATTTCTGCTACATCTGTTAGTATTCAAAAGGATTTTTTTTCAGATTTGTATGAAAACAAAGAAAAGGTACATCATGTTTAAACTGTTCCCCTAAGGCCTCCACGTTTTTCTTTCTTCCGAATTTGTTTGCATGTTGTACCATACATGTACTCATATAAATTATGTGCTGTGGTTATGTGTATGTAGTTGAGGTTTTACAGACATTTATCAATCAGATATGATTATTTACGTCTGGGGACCGACTTTAACGTCACCATCTGAAAGACGTGGCTCAGTTTCGAACCTGCGCCTTCAACTGAGTTAGTTAATAACCTCCATTATAAGCTGGATTACAGGCGCACGCCTCAACGCCCCATTGTTGTTATGTACTCATGCTCCATTTTATATTAGTTTTGTATACTTGTATGTGTTGCTTGAAACTTGTTATCTGAAAAAATGCATAAATAGAACAAATAATCCCCCCCCCCCCCCCGAGTTACCGACATACAGGACAATGATAAATATTGTATACCTCTCATTAGAAATCTAACCATAATTATGATTGGTCGAAATTGGAGTCGTGATTTAAGCCATGCCCGCCTACCGGTCTATAGTCTTTGAAATTCGCCCGCATTTCCACCTACAAGTTATAGTAATTTTAAAAGATGCCCGCATGCCCCGGTTTATAACGGGCCGCGTAAATAAATGTTGATGTGTTCCCCCATTGGTTTGCGTGTTAAAAGTTTCTTTGTGCGAGCGCGGATACCAAACAGTCCTTTTTGTCTGCAATTCCCAAATGATCGAAACATTCAGGAAACTTTTCAGCGAAAATTTACAGACAGTGTCTCAGATTTTCTGTGATGTTTTAACCAGTCTTTACCAGTGAAAAAATACACGGGGGCTCGGGGCGAATTAGCCCCCGAAATACCCCCAAAGAGCCCCCGAAAATCAGAAAAGAGCCCTCATAAATTTGCATAAAGTTCAATGCAAAACAAATTTTAGAATGTTATATTCATGCAGGCAAGCTTAAAAGGTAGCCCCCGAAAAATAAATATTAATTTTTTCCCTCGTCTTTACTTGGGAATAGGATAAGATAAGATTTCTTTGTAGATTTGTTTGTAAATTTAGTATATAAATGATATACCGATTGCTTTAATATTCGAAGCAAATCTGTTTCTATACTGGCTCTCAGGGACCAGCGCGCCTCGGGTCATATCATGATGTAACGTCCCCTTGAGCCTATAATAACAGCGATGCCTCTCATAGCAGTCAATATATCTATAGTACTCAATGTTATTTCTTCCTGTTTGAGACATTGGCTCAAAATATTTCGACTATGTATCACTACATGTGTATATTCGTACCACTCTACTCTCCTTCCATTTTTTAAATTTCTTTTTGACGTCATGTGACAATGATCATTTTACCTACCAGGCATGTACTGTATCAACTGTCTCATTGGCGTCGACATTCTTTCGGCATGACATCCCAAGGTCAGGTCACGTGACACTGTCTTCATCAAGAACAAGAGGTCCTTGTATTCCATATGGATCACAAGGAACTTCGCAGTTTCCCTTTAAAAAGAGTATGGCAAAATAAGCGATGGCGTCATGGAATAATACGGAACTAAGTACCTTTTTTTATCAATGAAAAATTGATTACTATTGTAATGATGATTTATTTGTGATCTATTTAGTGAAAGTAATGACTTGTTATGGTATAGTATTTTCCGTAGGAGTTGACCTTAAGAATTGTTTATATCACTTACTTACCAAATGTGTTTTTTGCTAATAACAATGAGCTCTTATACAGGGGTATTAAGAAGTGTGCGAGCAAAGTGCTTTTAAATCACATTTTAGTTATTGCTAAGGAATGTATGTATATGAGCAAATGTAATAACACCATCCCCTAGTACATTTTCTTTGTCATACAACGAAAAGTCATAGATAGTAAAAAGACTTAGAAAATTAAATGTACATGTCAAGAAGTGGGATTCACTCGCGAATACTATAATTAAGAACTAACTCCCTGAAAGTTAATGAAACAGACGGACATATTGACGAATTCAGGAGAACGTTATTCAGGTATTTTGTTTTTGTTCATAAAATGTTCCTTTTCTTTTCTTCCGCACTACTTCGTATGTTGAGCATGGTCCACTGCCTCGGTGGTCTCCGTCTTCTGTGAGTTCAATCCCCTTTCAGTGTTTGGATCGCGGTGCGATGGATCCTTGTGTACCGACCTGCGCTCTCAATCTTATTAATTTAAGTCCCGAAAATTGAATATTGAATTCCTATGTTATATTATCCGAGATGCCATATAATGCTTTTGGAATGTTGTTTTTATTAGTCATGTCAAAACTTCCTATTATATTATAACAAATTAAATTGCTTTGAGTACTAAATAAAACATCACTTGAAAAAGAAAAAAAGATGTAGGCCTAAATTTGTAAATTGCTGACAGTATTTCTAATTATTTTGTTGAAATACAAAGTTGAAATCCTAATGAGCTTGATTTTATATTTCATTATACTTTTAATTCTTACACATTTTTTTTTTATTCTACGAGTTTCGAAGTATAAAACCTATTTCTGAGAACTGTATACGAAAGGTCCGTGCAAAGCTGTTATATTCCATATTGATTTACTACTTGCTAGTAAAATTGTGTGAGCCGCGTAATGTTTTTCGAAAAAGTATTGATAATTTACGAATGTTGGAAATATGGAGAAACCTAGTGAAAGCCGATCATGTTTTGCATGTGTTGTTCAACGTAATTGACAGTGATGTAGCTACATTGGGACGGGGAACGTGCCCCTTCACTAGCCCCTATGACGGGGAAAAGTAAATGTAAGAGAGAGAAGGTAATAAAATAAAACACTAAATACACTCTACTATGCCTTCCCACATCCTTCTCCTAATCAAGGACCTCGCTAATATGTATTTCATCCATTGACCACTCCACACTCTCCCCCCCCCCCCAGGATTTATGCCCCCTTAGAAGTCTAAACTTATGCTACGCCACTGGCAATAATTACATTATTAATTTGTATAAATTACTATAGTGCACTTGTATTTTTATGCTAATAGAAATGTGGATTTATATTATGTTATTATATCAGATATGATTGTATTTATATTAACCAACTTACACTCGCCTATACATGATGGCTAAGGACAAGCAATTCAAGTCGTCCACAGCACTGGTCTGACACAAGTCTGCACCATTGTAGAATAAGAACTCGACTATGGACTGGTGACCGAGCCGACAGGCGAGAAGAAACGGCGACAGCCCCCACTGCAGAAAAACGAAGATAAAAACGAAGATTAATCTGAATGCCTTTGTTACGATATTTTTTTTTAATTTGATTTGATTGTATGTGTTGATTTACTTTGTTTTGCTTTGTCTGTTTTGTTGTTGGTGCTCTAGATGAATAAAGGTGATGTTGCTGATAATTATGAAGAGAAGGAGGGTGTTGATGATGATGGTGATGATGATCAGGATGATGTAAATGATGATAATGGTGGAATTATTATAGTGATGGATGATAATTTGGGACAAAGATGATGGTGAAGATGATAATGATGATAATAATTAACATATCACTGGGGTTGGTGTCGATGGTTATGGTAATGGTGAACGTGATGATGAAAACCAATGTTGCTCTGGTTAACGTTATCATTTTACTAATCATTTTTCACTGCTTGCGTATTGATTGGTTTTTGTCTAATTCTTCTTCTTTGGGAAGGGGGCTCGATATGATTAAAGAGCAAATCCCTTAGAACAGGAATGCCCCGATCCTTTGGAGCTTACCAACGATAAATAATGAGGTCTATGTTTTTCTTGGCACTTGGGTGACGTACACTAAGCAACCAGTGAATGTACCAATGTACTCAACAGTAACATACCACAAATAAAACGAGTTCTCTAAATCAATGGCGTATTAAAAAGTTGATTTACAAAAATATGAATCCTCCACTGAAGGGGAAGGTATCGGGTTTTAGGTCAGGTTTAGTGTGGGTTTAGGTGTAGAGTTGGCTCTAGGTCGAAGTTCGGAATTCTGTTAATGAATGAAACTGATCGCGGTCAAACAGCATGTGTCGCGCAAACTTAACTTTGATCATGTTAAATAACCCAAGCAGTATTTTATCTTAAGTTTTTTTGTCTGTATCATGTACATACTACTTACCTCACAGTCAACCACAACCCACGATGGATCTAACTCCCTCGTCCCGATTATGGTCGACCTAGCCTTCACATTCACGTCTGTTGAAATATTTAAACATTGCACAAAGATATTATGAGTACAGGACAACTAACATATGTTTTTGTAAAGGGAGGCCTGCCATAAGTGATTAAAAAAAAACTGCATTCAACACGATCGCAACTACTTTTTGAAAGAAAAAAAAAACTTTGCGCGTCATCTATTGAAATGTGCGAACATGGCAATGAGGTATTACGTAATCCGAACATGGTTTCTATGGAATATACATTATGGTATTATTGAAATTACACTTAAGTTGAATTTTCGAAACAGTTGTGATCGCGTTGTTCATACATGGTTAAAATGACCACTCGCATCCGTCACACCCCTTCTCCTTACATTTGTCCATTTCAAAACCATGGATTTGCATATTCCATCCTGCACGCTGAACGCCCATAGTGAGTAAGA